CACCATAGTGACCTTCACAGGTTTTGCTACATCTATCAACAGTGGAACGATTTGCCCACCACCATAGTAGTGTTTTCTAATCTGACGACAGAAAAACAAAATTACATTCAATAAGATTCTTAAAGTCACCAAATTATCATTGTAAAAACATTGGCAGACCAAATAAAGACTTAAAAACAACCAATGTCTTTGAACAAGACGTGCAATGTAAACTGTACTCAAGCTATCGATATGGTAAATTGTCCTAATATAACACGTGATGAGTTACACAGGTAGAACTTTGTTGGTGCTTGAAAGTCATTAGCGCCAGGTCAATTATTTCAATATTGATTGTACCTGTTGTGTTCTGTAAAATGTTAGCAAATTAATTAGGCATTATAGTTATTTTGTGCTCAAATTTCAAGTTTCTTCAGACGATTTCTCTTCGAAGACACTGACTAAAGCTACAAGCCAATCTGAGCATCTGTGGCATTTGGATAAAAATTGAAATCCCTTTTAAGCAAGGAATTTCCAGCCATTTCAACACTTACCAGTATGGGCAGTCACTAGATTCAAATTTCTTAAAAATTATGGCAAGTATAGTATAAAACTGATGAAAGTGTTAATCTTTAACACACACTTAAATCATTCTGTGATCTATCATCAAAATAGTAAAGAAATTATATTCAAGCATTGCTCTCAGAAAGAAGTAATAGATTAAGGTTTTTAAAGTTTAATGACAAGCTGAATTATAAAGTAACATAAAATTTGAGTTGATGATATCTTCATCAGATCAAAGCATCAAATGCTCAGTAAATGTGTAATGTCACATTTAATAGCTGTCCACACATTCTGCACTCCATTATATTAGACCTATCAGATGTCTATAGGATAAATGAAAACAAATAAACAATCTGCACACATTACACAATTGCTTTGAAATAACTATTTCAAAGTTTAAAAGACTTGCTACGTTTTCTGGCAGCTGTTTGTTTATCTCTATTTCTGTGTATGTAAGGCACACATGTGACCACCAATATATGCACAGTTCACAACCTGAAAATGCAATGTTTATTTTTTTCATTCTGTCGTTGATAGGAAGGCAGGATGTTAGTATTTGATGTTTGTATGATAGGAAGGAAAAATGTGTGGCCTCTTTAAAAGATGATGTGTTTTTTCCCAGGCTTGGAGATTTTAAAAATGTGCAGGTGCATGGAGAGCTTTTGAAATTGAAACATTGTATCAAAAGTCTATACTATTAGCAGGCAAAGCAACATTTTTACCAAGACAACAGGTTTTTGAATTTAGCCAATTAATTTAATCCAGGCCCTAGATACCAAAACTCAATTAAATTTAAATCTGATGGTTTTGACAACATAGGACCAATCCTATTGAAAGAAATTAATAGGTCATCAAGGGTATAAAAGAAGAGGGCATTTGAAAAATAAGGGTGAGAATCAACAGTCATCTGCCAAGAGAACAGCTCTCAGCCATAAAAGGAAGAATCACTGGCTCTCACAGAATTCGCTGAGCTCTCAGAAAACCATCATCTAAACTAAAGATATAGCAGCATTCTTAGCTAATACTCTTGACGGGAGAATTTGATGAAGAAAGGCGTTCCTGACTGAGGATCAGCATTCCAGAAGATGTATCCAGTCTGTAATTTTGAGGGATTAAGTTTTAATCGTTTTTATCATTTTGGTTTATATAAGTAGGACTTGTATTTATTGGTACAGCCTACCGTTAGAATTTCATCTTATTTGGGAATAGTTAGTAGTTAAAGGGGGAATTGTTCCTTTTTTTAGTGGTTCTGTTAATTTGTTCACTGTTAGAGATAGATAAATAAATAGTTATTTGTTGATTATAGAGTGACTGTCAGGAGTTCATTTCATTTAGCCTCCCCTTTGTAACAGATTGGGAGGTGAGAGGCAGGTTACTTTTTACTCTTCCTTTAACAGATTATGAGGCAAGGCAAGGTTCTCTAGGTGTTTCGATTTTAGTTGTTCAGAGGGGGGTCAACCTCTGCTTCATAACAATTCTAAAATATCTCCTGATAGCACACAAAATAGATTGACAGAACTTAATCAAGTTTCTATTAGTTCCACTCTAGTATGACTATAAGTTATAGAAAGCACGGGGCTGTGAATTTTTGAAATGGGGCTCGATTGAACTTGTCTTCAGAAGTAAAACATATAAAAGAGTGGCTTTGAAATCAGAAACTCTCAGCTCAGAGACATTGTGTAGAAGCCAAGCCACAAATGCTGTAACATATCATGGAGAGGAAAAGAAACTTAGATTTTTAGTACCGGAAGTATTCATATTCCTTAATATAGGGTCCTCTGATATGATCAATTGTCACAATGAGGAAGTGTGCCTGCAGCTGAGGCAGGTACAGGGATCCCGAAGACAGGAATGCAAAAACCTCAGCATTTGCAATTGTCCAACAAGTTTGGGGTTCTTTCAACTTGCATAAAGGAGGACTGCAGGATGAATAAGTTAAATGACCCTGGCACCATGGTACTGGAACCCATTTAAATGGGGGGAGGAAAAGGAATGTAGTGGTAGTAGGAGATAATGTCATGAGGGGTATTGACATTGTTCTCTTCAGCAAAGGGTGAGAGTTCAGAAGACTACATTGATTGTCCAGTGCCAACATTGTGACAATTTCTCAGGGCTGGAGAGGAATTTACAATGGGACAGGAAGTTTCAATGCATGTACCAGCAGCACAGGCAGGACAAAGGAGGCTGAGGAGTTAGGCAACAAATTAGCATGAAATAATTGTTACCTGAGTCACATGTGAATGGACAACGTTCACATAAAAAAAAATGTGTAGTTTGCAAATAAAACAATTCACACCTTCAGTTGATCATTCACATTGTCAAGGAGTGTCAGAAAGATGCCATTAAATTCTAAAGATCATGAAAGAGCTAATTAGCAAGAATGGAGGAGAGGTGATTACCTAGTGGTATTATTGCTAGACTGTTAATCCAGAGACCTGGTAATATTCTGGGGACCCAGGTTCAAACCTCGCCCTAACAGAGGGTGGAGTTTGAATTGAATAGATATCTGGAATTAGGAGTCTAAGGAAGACCATGAAACAGTTGTCAGTTATCAGGAAAAACCCATCTAGTTCACTGATGTCCCTTTGGGAAGCAAACTGACGTTCTTACTTGGTCTGGCTGACATGTGACTCCAGACCCACAGCAATGTGATTGACACTTAACTGCCCTTTGGGCAATTAGGGATGGGTAGTAAATGTTGGCCTGGCCAGTGACACCCACACCTTGCCAATGAATAAAAAAAAAGCAAGAATATGCTAATGATTTGGATAAAGAGATCCACTTATTACTTTTGCAATCGGGGCACTTCTACAGCTTCACAAGATTCAGTCTTTTTGAACTTATACATGAGCATGATGTGAAAGGACCCCTTCAACTGATTTGAAAAAGATAATAAATCAAGTCACAGAAGTTACACTTCAGACATGTGTGTTGAATTTCTCAGACAAAAAAATGTGCAAAACTTGTGAGTCGATCAGAAAGCATTTGAAAAGTGCTCAATAGATAATGAAAACTATAGGAGATGAAAGCTTAGAATTTTGTTACTGGAGGTAAGTCATTGGTATTACTATTGTTTGCTTCTAGGAGACCAATAAAAGCAAGATTCACTGGACCTTATCAAATCAAAAAAAAAATCAATCATGTGAATTATGCAGCTTGTGCTCCAGACAAGCAGGAAAATTAAAAACAATGCATGTGTCATGTTAATGTATTAAAGACACGCTATAATGGGGACGATAGTCAGAACAGAAGTGGTGAATGAAATAGAAAGTAAAATACAAACATCCAAACCTTCAAAAATGAACCTGAAGCTGAAAATTCAAAAGTTACTGTCTAGTAATTAGTTTTGATAAAATACAGATGGTTAAAAGATTTTCTCGAATATCATGCTCTCGTCTAGGAAACTATTGATATGAATTATAAAAGTTGTTATAGACCTACAAATCAATTAATGTTAATAGACGAAGAAAAATATGTTTGGCTATGCATGATATTAATGACGGGAATGTGACTTATA